ACTCATGCCACACCTACACCACTCAGGCCAAACCCACACCCCTCATGCCACACCTACACCACTTATGCCACATCCACACCACTCACGCTATCCTGACGAAGTCGCATGCGTTGCGCTCTCCAACAAAGATTAACCAGAGCAGAGTATTGATCTTGCCGATGAGACATACACCATTCTGTCAGGCATTAGTGAGGTCTGATGCCATTCGGCTGGCGAGATCCTACTCACAACATACAATACAAAACAACACACAACTGATATACCACACAACACCCACCTGTGGAAGAGTCAAGTAATAAATAAGAGTAGACTAAGGTTTGTAAATCACATCACACATCTCTCAACTGAGACCTAGCCATAGCTGTTGGTCAGCAATAATAAGCATGAAAAACTTGTCACAACAGCAAATGTATTTTACACAAAGTAGGATTTTGAACCCAGGCATCAAAGTTTGCCATTTTGTGGGATAACAACATTCTACATGTATGAAGCAAGTGAAACAACGGGTAATAGACATGCAAAGGCTGTGCAGTTGATTATATTCCTGAATATTAGTATATTAGAACACATATACAGTCAATACAAATTATGAATTAGTATTGATAACAAATTAAAAGTTTATCAATGTGAATAGCTATTTTACTATAAAATACCTGAGGTCCATTAACTAATAGCTTGTGCAAGTGGAAATTATGCTTGATAGCAGGCCTAAGGTAGCAGATTATAGCTTGTATTTTAGGATCTAGGCTTGCAATAGCAGAATCTAGCTGCTTGAGTTGCTACATTAAGGAAAGAAAGTATTTAAGCTACTAAAGAATGAGCAAGGTCCAAGACACATAATTTTGTAATATTAGTGGTATTTTTGACATTGTATATAAATAGAGCTCACCTTTGTTTGACGATTAATTCTTACTGATCTGAAAGAAAAAGGACAAAAATATAGATGAAATGTTCATGTGTGATGGTTCCTGAAATTTTCTTTCATATTTATTGAGATCTGAAAATTACTACCGGTACTTCCTATTTTCATCACCAATCAATGAACCATTCCTGTTTCCTATTTTAATGTTTTTCACAAAATAGATTAGTGATACATTATGAATTTTTATTAATTCTCTGTCTATTATCTCATTCAAAACCTTCATTCATCATACACTGTTTGAAAGCCTAGATATAGAGGGACACATTTGAGTAAACTAGGCAGTCATTTGTTCGCATAAGCGTCACATGACAGACTGATTTGCGGACTTCCAGAAAAGAATGCAGTATTTTGAGATGAAATACACAGGATACATGGATGTTACTAAGTTCATGTGTTCAAACTGTTTAAGACCCTGCATTTGAAATGTTTACAGAGAAGTCTTTTCTAGCCCAGTAATTCACTACTACATGTAGTTGACAAATGATTTACAACACAATACTTATAAATGTTACAAATTTTTGAAAAGTACTACTGCAGAACATATTAATCATGTTGTTTGTTGACTGTTTACACATAAACTGTAGTTCAAGTGCATATGTTAAAACACAATCAAATATACACATCAAGCCTCTTCAAAGATGGACATTTTCAGTGCCTATAGTTTAATATTACATACTCTTATTTTGAAAAGCACACTAACAATTTTCTGAATTTTTAATTAGCTATGGTGATTCATCTAAGTTTTTCATGCCCTTAAGAAAATATTGGAATTTTTTTGTGTGCAAATATCATTTTTTACTCAAAATCGGGTTTTCTCCCCTTAGTAGGGGTTCCCAACTGTTAAATTTTGGATAAACAATAATACCCGCCCTTTGATTATTTTCAAAGGTAAACGGCAACTGGACAATCTCACACGCAGAGAGATAACGGCAGAAGTACAAGAAAAAGGATACAGCAATGAATCTCGTAAGTATTTTTTTTATTTTGTTCATACATGAATCTAAAAAAGTTGTCTTAGGCCTGGTTGTTCTGATACCATCCGTGTATCATATGGTGTACATATGGGTTTGTTCACTTTTTGTAAATGTGATCAATAAGATTCAAGATGACCGCCGCTGTGTTTTCCACATAAAATTTTTTTTTTCTCTTTTAAATCTGTTTTCCAAGGTTCCCAGTCAATATTATGCATGATCGGAATGAGTCACGTCATGTCAAAAGCCATGGTGTGTCATTCAAGATGGTTGCCACCTTGTGAACGTTGTGATTACGTTTTTCTTTACTTTTCGCATCATTATTTGCTATCTATTTCATTCATTCCACGGAGTTAGTGAAATTCTTTTTTTTTATTTCTATGTTTTGCATGTAGTTAATTTATTTTTGACTCCCATGTGCGAAGCACATAATGGGAGTCTTTGCAGTTACTGTGTG